GGGGGTAACGCAACAATGGGACATTTTATCGAGAAAGCCGAGAGAAAGAGCGCCGTGAGGCAATGCCACTTTTGTCCACCTCGCATTTTCACCAGTTCCCCCCCTCCCCTTCTCCCTCTCTCTCGAGAGAGAGACTGGCCTTTGACATGGCACAAAAGGCTATTGTGCGATGACCCGTTAAAAATCGTTGTCCGCCTAATCGCCCGAAGATTGATTCGATAAAACGCTAAAGGGCAAGCCGGCGAAATTTGCATCTCCGTGCACGCAGCCTCCGGTGCAGCGGTAAATTTCCCCGTCGATAAAATCCCCCGATCCCCCCTCCCCCCTACACACCACCCGCCCCTTCCCCATTCGGCAGTCTCAATTCGTTCACGACCCTTTTTCCACGACCTGTATCGACTCGATTAATTTACCCCGGAACGGAGATGACCGGACAATTGAAAACACAAATAATGTTCCAATTATTGCTGTCCTCTACCCCCACGGTCCACTTTGATTCCTTATTCGTTCCTTTGTCTTGTTAATTTCTGCCAGATTGGGTTGCTTCTTGCTTTCATTCTTAGCAGAGCTGTAACTCGTTGGTTAATGTACAGCTAATTTTAATCAGATACGTTGATGTTGATTGCAAATTGAACATATGTTGTTGTCCAGATTACAAGTTGAACATATGTTGATGTCTAGATTACAAGTTCAACATGTGTTGATGTCCAGATTACAAGTTGAACATGTGTGGATGTCTAGATTACAAGTTGCACACTACTGATAGAAAATTGTCAGTCCCTATCTGAGCAATTGTAGTCAACTTTGTACATTTTTAAACATTATCTGTTCACAACTCCTATAGGAAGAAAGATGATCAAGGAAAAGATCCTTCCAGAGATGGACAATTAAAATTATAAATGGTATTCCAATTATTTCTGTCTCCTGCCTCACTGTCCACTCTGATTCCTTATTCGTTCCTTTGTCCTGTTAATTTCTGCCAGATTGGGTTGCTTCTTGCTTTCATTCTTAGCAGAGCTGTAACTTGTTGGTTAATGTACAGCTAATTTTAATCAGATACGTTGATGTTGATTGCAAGTTGAACATATGTTGTTGTCCAGATTACAAGTTGAACATGTGTTGATGTCTAGATTATAAGTTCAACATATGTTGATGTCCAGATTACAAGTTGAACATGTGTGGATGTCTAGATTACAAGTTGCACACTACTGATAGAAAATTGTCAGTCCCTATCTGAGCAATTGTAGTCAACTTTGTACATTTTTAAACATTATCTGTTCACAACTCCTATAGGAAGAGAGTTGATCAAGGAAAAGATCCTCCCGGAGATGGACAATTAAAATTATAAATGGTATTCCAATTATTTCTGTCTCCTGCCTCACTGTCCACTCTGATTCCTTATTCGTTCCTTTGTCCTGTTAATTTCTGCCAGATTGGGTAGCTTCTTTTTTTTATTCTTAGCAAAGCTGTGGCTCGTGACTTAGTCTATAATTAATCCTGATCGACTACGTTGATGTTGATATCTAAATTACAAGATGAACAAGTATTACTGATAAACAGAGTAATGATTCTATAAATTTTGAAGCATTTAACTGTCCACAGCTTAAAATTGCAAATGATATTCCAATTATTTCTGTCCCCTGTTTCACCCTCCACCTTGATCCTTCATTTATTCCTTTGACTCCTTAATTGTTGCCAGATCAGTTACTTCTTCTTCTTATATTCCTGGATATCACATAGCTCAGCCTTTCTACTATCAATCTTGAAAACATATAACCATTGTAGCATTGATCAAAAAGTGAGTCTTGAATTAAATGTTTACAGCAAGTCATTATTATTCTATGACCTTGAGAAATTGAACTACTACTTTGCAATTTACTCAGAGTTGATCAGACAATTCCAATCAAAAGCAGAGTTCCAATTATTTCAATCTTCTATTTCACCTGTCCACTTTTATCCATTATTGTTGCCTCATAGCTTTCTTCTTGCTCTTATAGGATTCAGGATTCTGATTCAGTCTTTCCAAAAGAAAATCATGTAGAGACGCCATGTTTGTTTTCAAATAAAAATCAGAAAGTCGATTCATAGAAGCAATACAACATTCATCATTTGAAATCTGTATCAAGGTTGAATGAATCTGTATCAAGGTTGAACGAATCTGTATGAAATTAAATAAGTAGATATCATTTAAAGGAAACGATCCAATTCATATGCGAGCTGCAGAGCAGAATCAATTTCCAAGGTTAATCCAGAACAGGTTTCGTCGACGTCGATAATCTGATTACAAGGCACATGAGCTAACATTAATGAATAAGCATCGATCCAAAAGTGTAGGTTCCAGGATTAGTGGCGATAGGAGGTCAACCTGCAGTCTTTGCAAAATTAACCCACGAAAACAGTGATTTTTGTCCTTGGTTCGCGTTTCTTCTAATTTCCAGTAATTGGTTTACCTTCAACGTCACGCAATACTGCTTTCAACCGCGCTTTGTACTTTACACGAGGTGGTAATTTGAAGCACCGAGCGAAGTTTTAATTATTTCTGTCTTCCGCCACGCTGTCCACCTTGGATCCTTGTTGATCTTTGATCGTTAATTTGTATGCAGCCGGTTAATGTTATCCTTATTCTTAGCCTTTAACGAGGCAGCTCGTGGCTCGGGTCTATCCAAAGTTAATCCTGATCAGATTTCGTTGAAGTCGATATCCTGATAACAAGACACACGAGCAAGCATCACCGAGCAGAACCTGACTAAATTATCAGCTTGCAAACGTTCATTCGTGGTCTTTGGTTTCTCTAATTTGCTATAATTGATTTAATTTTGATGTCACTCTATGCCCCCTTGAACTTCCTGTTGCAAATGATGTTACAATTATATCTATTTTTTTTTTCTTATCTGTAACTGTCGATCCTTGATCCCTATCTCTCAAAATTGTGGATCAATAACTAAGTGGCCATAGTAAATTGCTCCCCTTAAAAAATTGCAGGAATAATACCAATCCTAATTCCTAATTTCTGATAATTGTTTCGATGATGAAATTATAATTATAATTGTTTTACACTTCTCCCGGAAGAGATATATTTATCTCGTTGATCTCTAATTTGCTATAATTGATTTAATTTTGATGTCACTCTATGCCCCCTTGAACTTCCTGTTGCAAATGATGTTACAATTATATCTATTTTTTTTTTCTTATCTGTAACTGTCGATCCTTGATCCCTATCTCTCAAAATTGTGGATCAATAACTAAGTGGCCATAGTAAATTACTCCCCTTAAAAAATTGCAGGAATAATACCAATCCTAATTCCTAATTTCTGATAATTGCTTCGATGATGAAATTATAATTATAATTGTTTTACACTTCTCCCGGAAGAGATATATTTATCTCGTTAATTTTCACGAAATCGTCGCCATTTTTTACCCTTCTTCTCGACCTTCGCCATAACGATTTTGTTTTACCAGAGTTAATCTTGATCGTTCGCTTTGATATCCTGATCACAAGACACACGAGCAAGTATTAACCCTAAAAAGACCAAGGGTCTTACCGAGCCCATATTTTCGGTCGAAAGGCGACGCTCAAAGAGGCGTATTTTAAGAGTACAGGTTTTGTACTACCGAATCAAAGCTTTTGTAGCTCGTATGCACCTTTTTGCACCTGTAAATTAACCTTTTTTGCAAATTCACCCTTTTGTCATCCCAACAGTGATAAAATCCAACAAGTTATTATTATTTCGAAACGTACTGAAAACAGAATAAAATTATTTAATTTCTCGGAACAGGGAAAAAAACATGACGGCGGAACAAAAGATTGACGTTCCTTTTACGGGCAGATTGCGCTCCGTATACGAATATCGTATCGATACTGCATTCGTCCTTGTCATCCTCGAAACTTTTTAAACCACGCTTCCATTGTGCTCACGACCATCGCGATTTATTAGAGTCCCTCGAAGAAAAGCTCGAGCTATTTCATACATCGAGTACAACGGAGGGTAGATTAAAGAAAATATTTTCCTTGGATCATCACCCCTTTGGTAATACTTCATCGCGTGCAACCGCGGACAATTTGCACTTACAAGCTCCTCGAACCCCCCTATTGGCATAATGCGGCTAACAACGAACGGTCACGAAGCAGGGAATTACGGAAAATTTTTGAACATTATGTGCAAGCATAGTTCATTTCGACGAATGAAAACACCACTTTTCGTTGGGGACGTAATTACGGTTTCGAGGTGATGAAATCAACCCTTGGAATAATGTACGTTTTCAACGTTTCAACGAGAGACGAGATACAAAATTGCATTATTCTTTGTGTGTGCAAAACTGGACAAATAATTGTGGAATAACCGTACATGGTTTTCGAGTTGTTCTTTGGTGTCAATTTTTTATTATTGTGAGAGGTTAGGGACAATATAGATACAACAGTGACAAGGAATAAAATACATTTTATTATGGAATGACCTAACCAAGACTGTTAGTCGTCTGGTGAGACATCACGTGACCGGTTTAATTTCTCCAGTAGCCTAGAGAGGTCTCCACTGGAGGATTTCGATAACCTCGCCCAATTATTTGTGGATTGAATTTAAAATAAAATAGCTCTGAGAATTCAGCCACTTCTTTATTAAATGATTCATGTTCGTACTAGCACCCAAGTAGTAATTTCTTTCTGATAATTTTCACGAAACGAGATCAGATTGAGTTCAGTGAAATTCGAGTAGAATCGTTTAGCCGATCGACTCCACGCGAACAAAGACTGCCCTATACAGCGCTAGCATCGATCGCTCGAAGATCGTTCTGGATCGTTGGCGATCGAAACCGACTACCGGTTAGGGCCGTATCAAAATAAATGCTATAGTTCAAAACGAATACATATCATTAGTTGTTAAAACGAGGCGCGACGCAAGTATAGTTGTAAAGGAGAGAAGCAGAAAGGCGAAGCAACAAGAAGATAACGGTGGGAAAAAAAAAATTTGAGGGGGAGGGGGATAAATGAACGACAACATTAACAATTAATTTATTACACCTTTACCGCATCTTATATACATAATATACATACAAAATTGATATATTGTATATACAAAATATATGTATTATATATTATATATATTATATATAACATATACACGTGCATATACAAATCGGTGAATAGGAGATAAGGTTTTGCTAAGACGAAAATCCATGCGATCGCGCGGATCGATCGATAGGAAAGGAACGATCGACGCATGGATCCGTGATCCGCGCGATCGTCGGTACAATGTGTACAGCGAACCGGTGGGAAAGAGGACGATATTCTATCGACAAAAGATCCAGACAGTATTTTAAAATGACATAGTTAGCTTAGTCGTCTACGTATTAATGTATCTACCCCTATACGCGCACGCGTGCACGCGCGGGAAATTCGAAAACAAAACGAGAAAAAACAAAACAATATCGAACGAACGATGGAAAAAATGCGTGCACGCGGATACACACGTACACGTACACGCAAACCCACACACACACGCGCGTACACGAATACAGACACACGTACACGAGAAATATTGTATCGTTGTCGATGTCTACGATTGTTAAAGCGGAGACGCCTGGCGCCGATGACCAACAAAATCCTCCCCCCCCTCTCCTCCTATCCCAACTCCGCAGCGTCGCGACGCCGCGCGTCTCCACTCGTGTAATTCACGTTTCAATAATATTTATTATTTTTTATAATAGCGTATACGGTGTATGTGTTTCCTGTCGTGATTACCCACACTTCTCCTTACCTCTCGATAGATGTTGAAGAAAAAAAATAACAAAAAAAAAAAATAAAAATAAATATAATAAGGGAGGGAGAAGAGCACGGAGAGAATGATTACGGATCAAAAGGCGAGGGATGATTTTTATCGACGAAATGCTGCTTCGTCTCCCTCCCCCTCCCTTCAGGAGTCTTAATTAATTCCCTAACTATTACGTTGTTACTTGGAACTCGTTAGATCGCGGCGAACCGCCCCGCGAGCCCGATTGTTTAACTGCATATACGATCACCGATGTAAAACCGGGTCGTTGCCTCTAACCCTTCCACTGCTGAGGGCACGCTTCTTAACTCTTTCCCAAGTCGCAGGAATTCTGTTCGTTTCCCGTACGCGGGCATCGAGCGAGACCAGTACGCCGAAACGACAAAACGATTGAAAAAAAAACAAGAAAAAAATGTAAAAGTAATCGCTGCAAACCAAAAAGAGAAAAAAAATAAATAATTATACGGAACGGTCCTTAGGACGCCCAAAAAACGACACGCGCACGAACACAAAACGGAAAACCAGAAAAAAATGAAACGTTTTCTAGGGACTACTGTACTCTAGAACAGTAATTTTCGTCGCTACGAGGAAATTAGAAACCTTTTCGATGTTCTTCATCCCCCGTAGGCTTAATCAATTATTTTTAAGTGTGTGATCGATTAAACGCTTCGAAACTAGCGAGTCCAAGAGAAGGGTTAAGAAGATCCATCAATGCGAATCAACGAACCGTAAAGTAAGCACACGAATTATATATATGTATATATTTTTTTTTTCCTCCGTTTGTAATCGATCGTTGATCGAATAACGAGAATCGAGGCGACGATAAATATTGATAGCAGTCCAAGGGTTGATGCGATGACGTGACCAACAGCAGAACATCCTCGTTTCTGAACATATTCGACTTCGAAAATCGTTGCTTGTGTCATCGATTAATTAGGAGATATCGCGTCCATTGTGACAGAGATCTTTGATACTCGCGCGAAAGATCGTTTTTTTGTGATTATTTACACGCCTCTGTTAGTATTATTATCTATTAAATTCGTGGGAAATTTAATTTCCTTTTTTTTCTGATTCGTAAATTCTGTTTTTAGAAATGAATTTTATCGAATGAGTGATCTTTGTTAACTGTTACTCGAGTAACCCAATTGTGCGGGCGCATTGTTTACGAAAACGTTCGAAAATATTTAAGTAAAATAATTTTCACGTACGGAAGCTATTTCGAAATAATTTCCCGACATTAATGTAGTCGTTATTAGGAGTGATTAACGTAAATGAAAGCAATTTCGAAATAATTTTCCTAGCTTAATAGAATAATTATTCTATTGTTATTCGCGTCGCGTATGATTATGTCCGTGGATCCGTCAACGTCGTTATTATTGTATTCGTTTTCCGTATAACAATAACGTTATTGTCCGCGAAAAAGTCGCACGTTAATTGCGTGCAAATAATTTAAACGTATAACAAAATAATTTTAATTACCTTGTTAATGGCGAATCGAGTTTGGCACTTTGTTAGCAATTCTCCTTTATGAATTTCTGATTTCGGTATTCTGTAATGAAAATTTTTATTTGCATGTGTTATATATGCGTTAGAGTATTGTCACTATATTGACGAGATCTTCCCGAGAAAAATGAGTCCAAACACGACCTAGTTCGGACTACTTTTTGTTATACGAAATTTGAATCGTTTTTGAAAAATTTTCAATTGCGTATAATTCAAAATTGAAATAATATGGTCGTGTTTGGACTCATTTTCATCGGGGAAGGCTCGCCAAGTCATTTATAATACTTTCACGAAGAAAATAATATAAAAATTTGAATTATGGTTTCCAACAATGATTCAATTATAGAGGGAGAAATTCGATCAATTAACAAGGTAAACTGTATCAGTGATTCTTAACTTGTACCACGAGCCCAAAATAATAAAAACTCGTGAGTTTAAAAAAGTTAAGAACCGCGAAGTATAAAAATGAGTAAGTATTACGACTCGAGTAACTCGAAGCGAATTGCTATACGTTTTAAAATACGTTTTATCATTGTTTTGTGATAAATTACGGTAGTCCGCAATTATCCAATGTATCCGTCACAAGTGACGCGCACATAAATTGCATAAGCAAAGAAAGATGATGTTAAGCAACAGAAAGCAATAAATTATCTTGCGTAATGCGAAACTGTAAACACACTCGACTGATAGCACGTAGTTTAAAGGCGAGCGAAGATATTTTGAAAGTGTATTATTGCGTCTCCATTGCGCCGTTCATTAAAATCTAGTTAAGACGAACCAATGATTATTTATCGATTAATTATTATTTCTCGAATGCGTACGTGGGCATCGAGATGCAATTCTGTAAACGTTGCAAAAATGCGATCGTAAAATAAACGAGCTCTTCAGACGCAGATATCTTTTACTTTCGAGCCCTAAAACTCGTCGATGATACAAAAATTTACATTTCTGAAGTTCTCCTCTTAATGGCCGAACGAAAATTATTTTCAACTGGTACGAGAGAGTCAAGGTGACCCCCACTGTTCGAAACCGAATATAAACTGGGATCAAGTTTCTTTTAAAGAGCTCAATTCGTACGATAATCTCGAACGTTGATTGAAATCTCGATTACTCGGAACATCTCGAACGTTAAAATCTCGTTTCATTCTCTTGTATCGAGAGTCTCGTACGGTGCAATCGAAATATCTTGGACTCTTTCGAGAAACGTTGTATGTGATGCTTTATGTATGTGTGTGTATGCTTTATTAATACGTAATACGGTAGCATATGATTATATCAATATTGTTTTAGTTCTCTTAAACTTTATGTATGTTATTTATTTTGTATATGATTATTTTTGTTATATATAATTGTTCTTTTCATGTTGCTATTATTATTAAATATATAAATCTTTATTTTGTTGAATGAGACGTTTTAATTTCCACCTAAAATGAAATGCATGTGATTACTGTATTTCGTTCTTGTAGCAATGTTTTTCCTTCTTCCTTTGGAATCCTAAATTATAACCAAAAGTATAAAATATCGATGTAATTGTTATACAGGGTGTTCGACCAACCCTGGGAAAAATTTTAATGGAGGATTCTAGAGGCCAAAATAAAACGAAAATCAAAAACACCAATTCTTTGATGGAGACTTTGTTAAAAAGTTATTAACGTTTAAAGTTGGGACCGTACTGAATTTTTTTCTCGAAAATGCGCAGGATTTCGAGTATATGTCTAATCACCAAAAATGATTGTAATTGGCTCCCGCAACCGAAAATAATTTTTCCAGAACGATTCGAAATTTTTTTTTATCGTCGAAAAATTTTAAACATTCTCGAATTTTTTTCTAGAAAGTGCGTAGGATTTCGGGGGAATGTCTATTCACCAAAAATGATTGTAATTGACCCCCTTAATCGAAAATAATTTTTCCAGAACGATTTGAGAATTGTCAATTTAATTGTTAATAACTTTTTAACGAAGCCTCCATCAACAAATTGGTATTCTTGATTTTCGTCTTATTTTGGCCTCCAGAATCCCTCATTAAAATTTTTCCCAAGTGTGTCCCGAGTACCCTATATAATTTTTCGGGTTGATTTACCTCGATGTTTACAATACGTTCGTTGCAATTATTATTTACCAAATGATTGTAATCATTGCTCATTAATTTTATTACATTTTCAGATCCAAAAATTCGAATTACCCCAATCTGACATTGACAGTATTTTCTCCATTCATTTTGCAGCTCACAATTGCACGCAAACTTAAATTGACGTTAACCTGAATGCAGTTGTACTGTCGATTAAACAAACCGTACGTTCTATATTTTCTTGTGGGGGCTAAATTGACTCCCACCATACCGGTCGTGTAATAGCTGTTCCGCCCTACCTGTTGGGCGTTAATTAATATTGGTTTATTCCGAGGAGGACGTTCAGCAGCCGTCAATCACGCTTGTTTTACCATCAATCGAGATCAGTTGCCCAAGACATACGTGTATCTCGCTGCCAATTAACGCCAATCATCCAACACACGCGTTCTCATTGCTGACAATTATAAGACACCAAAGTAATTTCCTTGGAGCATCCGCGATTCCTATTTTTAATCGACAAAGAAAATCCAAAAGAAAATCAACTGGCCGAGTCTCATTCTTTTTTTGTTTTTTTTTATATCGAGTTCACGGATTCAAAATGGCTGCCATTGGCGACATTACTGTCAAAGCGATCGAGCGCCATTTTCTTTTTCTCAATCGTTCCTTCGGGAAAGGCAATGGAGACGCGGTAGAAAGAAGATCCGCGTTAAATTCAACGCTTGCACGTCTCGCCGAAGGAATTTCGAGAAACCTCTTTCGTCCCTCGTCCACGCGTGAGAAAACAAACATCGAGACACGTATACAACGTTGGCGCGTCGTCAGGAACAGATTTAATCGATTTCTGACGATCTGATGCGGATGTGCATCACTAAAAACCACAATCTTGAACTTCGACTCGTTTAAAGAACGAGCTCGGGCGTCACGAGCCTCGCTGTGCAGTGGAACCCCGATTACTGCAAGAAAACGCGTGCAGTTATCGAGGTAATCGATTCAATGAAGAAATCTGTTACTTGTATATTCTTATAACGAGGTTCTCGTGTCATCGAGGTTGCATTTATCGAAGTTCTACTATATTTTGTTTTTTTTTTTTTATTCCATGCAGAAATCGCAAGAGTATAAAAATGATAGTGTTGAAATAAATTTGTAATTTTCTAAATTCGTTAAATTATTGAATACTTCGCTTGCAATGCAAAATATTTTTCCATTAGCAATTTTAAGATGTTTCGAACGAATAAGGATGCTTAAATTTAATTAATAAAAAATCAAAACGAGGACTGACTCGAAGCAACTTAATTTGACAATTTTCAGCACAACGTGGATACGAGATTTCTGCATGTAAAAATGATTAATAATAGATGTGAGTGAAAGCACAGCGAGGCTCGAAGGATCGACTTAAATTCCGATTCGAGATTTCGTACGTCCCTACGTTTATAGCGCTAATATTATTAATTAGTGGACCTATAATTACACGTTCTTTTGGTTGATGCGTAGATAATATACTTAATAGTATTTACGACAACGGAATTCTGAAAGCAATAACGTTTGTACTCGCTTACCATCGCTTAAAACGAAACGTTGTATCTTATTAATTTACCGATTCTGCGAAAGACCAGTATATATGTGGACACGAACCAAAGAGAGTGCTTATTGTTATTAATTACAATTATACAATGTGGTTACCAAATTAATTGTTTACATTCGTGTATTTCTTGCGTTCTTAACACTTTGACGGCCGCTGTCACGTATACGTGAGTTCGTGAGCTAGCAGACGTTGGCCACTGT